TAAGTTTCGTGCGGTGTCTTGTTCTAGACAATTCAACATCAGAGTTTCCAAATGCAATTTAGTAGATGAACATTGAGCTCGAAAGCCATTTATTGATATGTTCAAATGATTTCAATTGCTTTCGAGCTCAATGTTCATTTACTGTTATAGGATATGCAAAATTGTTTATAATTTATTGTTATAGGTTCAATTAATTACAATACCCATTATCAGAGGAAGCCATTCAAATGTGCATATTGGAGTATTAACCACCACCGGATAATTTGAGGAATTGACATCAATTAATGCTCATTTTGAAGAGAGATGCACATGCAACACAACTAAAGCATTGTCAGGCAACAAACTAACAAAATTACCATACAGTTGCCCTCCCATGAACATGTTACACATATAATATCTTATAGGCCTTTGTAATTTTGTTTTAGAGAATCTTCCATAAATAACATTTAAATCTTATCACGGCCATTCAATTTTTCATAATATGCAGCAGTAAACTCACGTGGCTGTTTGAGATAATCTGCAATTTGTTTACCCTAGTTTTTTGTGTTCCAGGTATTCCCATTCTCTAAGCTGAGTGAATGATCTTCATCTGTATAATTTTGCGTTTCCAAAGCTCACATCATCTTGAACTTTTCTGTATTTTACTTCTGCATGGGCTCTAACCTGGCTTACCTGATGGTAAAGATCTTTCACATCTAACAATATTGAGGAACTTTAGTCTCCAATATCGCTGGGTGAACATTTTGTGCTGACCACTCAAATTTGATTTGAGCCTAACTTTAGCAGTCGTTTTGATTGGCATAGCTTTGGTTGAGATCTTTCTCATTTGGTTTTTGGTTAAGGTCTGTATGATTGGTACTGCTGCTTTGTTAAGTTCTTTTTGATTTGCACCCCTTTGGTTGAGTCCTCAATCTACTGAAATAAATTGTTAGTTAATTCTCATTAGTATGTAGGTGTATTGGATTTATTAATTCATTCTTTTGTCTTGCTATGAAGGTTTACTCTTTTGTCTCTTCCCTTTTTGCTTTTTCTTCCCCCGAAGGCTAAAAGTTACTTGAATCAAATGAAAGAAGTTTGTTCAGCTTTGCATCACTGAAAGTCTTATAATAACCCTATTTGTATGCTATGGCTTCATAAAAAAATGTCTGATTGTTCTGAAATCAAACTTGAGATTCAACTTGTGTTGGTTATATTTATGGTTGTTATGTTCCAAGATTAAAAATTATAAGGTGGCTTTTTAAAGCCACTAGGTGATCAACATGCTTATACACAAGGCACAATCTTCTTATGAATGTGAAAGTCTGCGTTATTATTCTACTCAGCTAGTTTCTTTGTTCTACAGGTTCTTTGCCTTCATCTCCAACGCAGTTCATTGAATGCATTTGGGGAGCCTGTTAAAATTCAGGTACTTGAGTTTTAGTTAACTATCTGTCAATCATAGACACTGGCACTTTATTCCACAATTTCTTGGTGCAACACTAGTACGGTTGGGGATTTAATGCACTCGTGAAGGATCTGAAATAAGGAATTGGGCAGGATCCGCAAACTCAAACAAGTGTTAGGTTTGAGGCTTGAGTATTTTTTTTTTTTTCTTTTTTTTTTTTTAATAAAACCAATAATATTCCTTTTTTTGGGTTCATATCTGTTGATTTTCTGGTTTCATGATATATTCCTCTTCCACTCTCTTGCTTTGTCTCAATGCATGTCCCTTTTCTAATTCTCATATTCTCTTTGCTACAACATGGTATATTCCTATATTACTTTTCTTGCCTTTTGATCTATAGAGTTGTCATTGGTTTGTCTCAATTTGATTGTTTATCACTTTATCGGCATATGCAGGGCCATATCTGTTTCCCGATCATCCTGAATCTATCACCTTTTGTTAAGTATGAAATTGGTGTTCAAAAACGAGAAATAAATAAGCCAAAAAGTCTGGGGGAGCAGCCAAATCTGGCTTCTATCTCTCATCCTAAAAGTGCTGACAAACATCCAGAACTAAGTAAGCAACTGCTGTTACTTGTCATTCATCTTAAATAGAAAGCATCCATTTTAAAGTATGAGTAATCCGCTGCAGTGCTAGTCAAGGATGATGCATCACGGTTTCTTCCAGAACCTTGTTCATCGCTGATTGAAAACTGCTCCAGCACCATATCTATGCCTACTTTTAAGGTTGGTCTCTTTTCTTAAGGTTTTTACTTGGTGGAAGCTCAACCTTTCCAATTGTTTGTGCTATTTGAATACTTGTGTATTGGTAGAATTTTTTAATCCAGTTGTTAGTAAATGTATGTCTTAGGTTCAATATGTTAGTAAATGTATGTCTCAGTTCAAATTTTGCTGTAAAATAGAAAATTTTCAATTCAACCCATGATGCGAGTAATGAAAATTACTAATTTATTACTCTAATAGAATGGTTAAATCGAATAAAAATAGATTAGATTTGGGGTACTTGATTGTATTTAATGTGATCAAATCACCAAATAGAGCATTCAATCCCAGCTTAAGTGGGTAGACACTTTCACCAAGAAAAAGATGGCAAAATAAACTTCTCATCAATATTCATCATACCTCCTATCTCTCTAATGTGTTCGATTCATGACACTATAACTAATTCTATTATTTTCCTCATCTAGATACCAGTCTTATTGCATTACTATGATGCCCTACTCCAAATCCTGATGCTTTATTGTAGACACCTAAAAATCTTTTCGATCGACGCCAACAGTTACATACTCTAGAAAAAATTATTGTTTGTTCAAAATGATATAGTGTATTAATGTCCACCATCATCAAGAGAGTGAGGGATTACTCAAGTGGTTAGAGCTTTCCTCCTGGTTCCAGGAGACCCTGAGATTGATTCTCACCCCCGTCCTTGTGGCTCTCTATACACCCAAAAAAAAAATTCCACCATCATCAGAGGCCAAGTCAAAAACGAGAACCAAGTAATCCCATTTCCCTTTCATTAAGTAAATTTAAGCCTGACTTGGGATCATTCTATGCGACCATGGCACCTTTGAATAGAGTTATACTGAAGCTAAACATTATTGCAGCTTACATACTAGCTGCCGGGTTTTTTGAGCCAGAAATTAACAAGTTTGTTTCTGTCTGTATAGGCTAATTTTGATCCACCACCTCCCAAAAATATTCTGTATCGCCTTGTTTCTGTTGTGGAACACTTTGGAAGAGCTGGGAGTGGCCATTACACAGTATATAGAGGAATGACGACTCAAATGGAAAAAGGTGATGGCGTTAGTGAAACTGATGCTCCTTTGCAATGGTTTCGCATTTCAGATTCAGAGGTACACAATGCTTCGGAAGAAGAAGTTCTTGGTGCAGAAGCTACCCTACTTTTTTACGAGAGGATCTGAGCCAACAGCTCATATGGGTTTGCAAGGTTGCACCAGACTGGAACCAAAATTTAGGCATTACTTTGGACTAGACACCAGAAATTTTAGATTATACTAATCCCCTGCAATTGCAACAGGTTGGTAGTTGTATTTTTATAATGAAGTGGATAGAACAAGAAGTCAAGAAGCTTCTATTGAGATTTGGAATTTCCTATTGCATGCCAATAAAATACTAATACTCCACTGTAATGTTAGTGTCATCAAAGTATCAAACTTCAAAGTTAGGAAATTTTGTCAAATATTACATTTTATAAAGCAAAGTTTGTGAGATAATACATTAGAGCATCTTCATCGTGGACATCCCTGCCCAAAAAACTCCATCCCGTTTTTTAAGCTTTGGTTTTTTTTTTTTTTAGTCTTTTTTACCCCAAGTACACAACCAACAAAATTTAATAATAAAAAAAGATGTTTAATTAGGGCAAATCACGCTTTCAGTATTTTAAAACCAACCAAAATCCTAATTTGACCCTACAATTTCGAAACTAGGTGAAAAAAGTATAAGCTAAGTTACGGAGTACAAGGCTGAGTAGCAACAATTAGGGGTGAGCAAAAATTCAGGGTACTTTGAATCGGAACCGAAACCTGTTAGGAACGTAGGTTTTGGAACCGAAACCTGTACAAGAGGTTCTGGTTCCGGGTAGTAAAATAGAGAACCTGTTGCAGCAGGTTCCGGTTTAGGTTCTCGATTTTTTGGAATCGGAAACTGTAGGGTACCCTGTAACCTAATAAAATTGTTACTTAAGCCTTAATCATACATCAATTTAAGCCCAATTTTACTTAATATAAATAAAAATAATTGTTGTAACTATATATATTAAATTTGATAAACAACTCTTTTTGGTTTGTTATATTTGCAAACTATAAATTTATGACCCTACAATTTTTTAATAAAAATTTGCAAAAAAGTACGAAATATAGTAAAAGACAGGGTACCCTGAATCGGAACCGCAACCTGCAGCTTCCGGTCCCCAATTTTCAGGAACCTGTTCAACAGGTTCCGATTCCGGTTTTCATTTTTAGGAACCTCTTGCAACAGGTTTCGGTTCCGGTTCCAAGAAATTTAACAGGTACCCTGTTATGCTCACCCCTAGCAGCAATTGAACGTCTTTTTCATTGTTCATCATAGTGAACTTATTTTAACCTATCTGAAATTATCTAAACTTAACGAGTTAATTTTGGCATCATCCAAATGGATTTACTGTTATTTGTTTTACTGGTCCAACATGCATTGCATTTATGCAATGCCACTGCACCCGCAATGAATGAATATAAGCAAGCTAAGATATGAAAGATGTTTGGAACTGCTTAGACTGAAGGCTCAGTAATCATGTTCTGGACTTACGCATTGGCACCTTTTGTGCTCACCCTTTGGTCTGCCCGGCCTCTTCTTGTGGTTTGTAGCATGATCAGTTTCGGGTTACCTTTGTGCGTGTTTCTGGATGAAGGAGAGTTGTTCAGATTCGTTCTCAGATAACAAATTGCTATTTGCCTCCCTTTGGCAAATATATATTCTAAGACCGATAATCAAACGGTGAACAATCTCAACCTAGGCATCCAATACAAGTTACTACCGCATGAACCAATCCATCAAGAAAATCAACCAAAATAGACCTTCAAAAGTCGATTGCTAAATAAGATTTACTTCTTTATTTTAAAATACAGGCGTAATACATAATTCCATTTTCCATGCTACGTTCAACTCCTTAGGCATCACTCTCAGCTCGTGAGTAGGGTAGTCTAACGTAACTTTTCCTTACACTTATATGTATACGTAAAGCACTCGTACGAGTTCCACATATATCCCGTACATACCTTTTTATACCCTTTCAACTAATAGAGGAACATACAACATACATACGACCAACACGCACGAGTATGTATATATATATATATATATATATATATATATAATAGAGCACTCGACCTACTAGGTGATAATGATGATCATCAATGCATGCTTCATAATTTTTACTAAACAAGCGACTAATAATTATCAATTTCCATGTATTAAACCCGCTTGTAATTTGTAGTAGATCTTTAATTTATATGTGTATATCAATAGTGAATTGGAGACTTCCTTTTGACGGGGTGTAATCCATCATCGTTAGATCACCTTCATTATATCCTTCTACGTTATCATCAACGTTAGCAAATGTCGTACTTGGAACATCATGCTTGTTAATGTTCTTGTTCATTGGAGTTGTTCCTTCATTTTTTATTGGCACGTTCCTACTTGCATCTATACACAAATTAAATAACCAAACAACAAAAACAATAAGTATAAGTAACTACTTGTATAATGTATCAAACTAAGATACAAATTAAATAATAAGATGATTCAATCAATTCAATGAAGTTGAACAACAATAAGGTTACATATGTACCTGTACGAGGAGCTAAAATGAGGCAAAGGAAGATGAGCACGACGAGAACGAAAAGCTTGCATGTTGGCACGGCCATCGTAGAAGTTTGCTCTAGCTTGATATTGGATAATTGGTATGGTTGATTAGCTTAGGGTTGAGTTGTTAAGTACGATGTTGCTTACTTAGCTTAACTTAATTAATTAGCTTAAGTTGTGCTAGATAGTTTATATAGAGCGAGGGAGGAATTGAAGTCTAGTTGGGTAGCTGGGGTTATCATGTGGTGCAACTATTTCCGTACAATCATATATATCGTCTTTGTTAGTAGTATAACCCAACACTTTACGTCTAAATATAACATCCATCAACAGTTTTTCTGATTGATCTTGACATTTTTAATGGTTGAGGCACGTATATGACAAATATCATAGGATTTTGTATTTTCATCTTAATTTGCCAATAAAAATTTAATGCAAAATGCAAATTTTAATTTAATAAAATAAGTATAAAAAAACGGATGTACTCCGGAAGGCTTTTCAAGGTATCTCATGAGCATGTAGTAATATCTTTAGTTAATTACATACTACTGAAGTTTATCATGGACAGTTAGTGTTCTAATAATTTTTACATTGAAATTAAATTAACAAGATCCCGTATGATTGTGTTTTATCTTATATATACGTAATTCAATTCAAAAATCATCAAATACAATAATTAGCATTTTCTTACATTGGCCTCGTGGTTGAACAATAAGTATAAAAAACAGCAAAAAAACATACGTTTTTTTTATACCTTGCTACTTATCGTTTAAGGTACATTCGCTATTGATCTTTCAATTTTCACTTTATTTCTTCTACGTACAATATTTACATTTCTAAATGACTCTTTCTAGCTTCTCTTCGTTCATTCCTTAAATTACCCAAAAGCTAGGGACACGTTAATTAATCTCTTTTGTTGTAGATGTTCTTACAACTAAATAGGATGATCATAAATAATTTTTTTTTAAAAAAAATGTAAATCGTGTTATTGTGGATAGAAACTTGAAGCTATAAATTGTTAATTGAAAACTATAGAGCGGCTATGCATGAATTGAAATAAACCTGTAGTTATACACAAAAGAAACTTCAAATTAAAGACCTAACAAAAAGGTGAAAAAAAAACAAATGCATTTTTAATTTTATTTATAATCTAATTAAATTTGAGTTATGAGTTATTTATGTATTTTCCCATCTGATTAAAAAATTTAGATAAGTAAATTAATGAAATCCTACAACAGACTTACCTAAATGCATAGATATTTATATAGATTAATTACAATCTACATTAATAAATTAATAAGCAACAATTGAAAAAAGTCATAAAACATAACGTTGATGAATATTGAATAGAAGGAGCTTTCTGGCACGACATATATAACAGGGTCTTTTTCAAATTTGTATATTTGTATGTTTATGCAACAAGTTGGGAGTCAAGACACCGCCACGAACGTAATTATCACGGCAAACACAATACAAACATGTCACCTTTCTAAATTAGAATCATAATATACAATTATACAAGGCAAACCGACACTTTTTTTTTTTCTAAACGTATGAATGTCATCGTAATTATCACATGCATTTTTGAATCCATATCAATTAAAATTACCATTAATACAATCTTCAGTTTTTCCACAATTTCCGATCAGTTACATGTTTGAAATTAATTAACATTTTTAAGACTATCATTTAGAAATGGAGTATATGCAAATGTCTATGATAGAGTATAAAAACATATTCATGTGTTTAAACCATAAGCTTAAGTTTTTGATTGAATTGGTCTTTTAACATGGTATCGAGCTAGCGTGACACAAAGGTCATGGGTTCAAATCTCATCCACCTTCCTTTCAAATTGTAATATTTTGCACTAGGGAATGCGGAGGGCTCATGTTGCATCCACATTTCAAGCCCAAAAGAGTTTCATGAGAGGGAGCGTGATAAAGTATAAAACATATTCCTGTGTCTCAAACATCAAAACGGGATTTGATTTCAAGGATTCGATATTATTACCCTACAAAAATTTTACGAATACTAGCTAAATCATTAGTATCATATACATAAGGACCATAGCGCAGGTAATCATGAATACAAGTGCATGTAAATATGTACCACATATTTAATACAGTGTCGCTTTATGTATGTGTGTCCTAGTCCTTATAGCATCCAATCCACTGGATTTGAAGTACGATATTGTATAGCTTGGTTTTTATGAATGAAAAGTGGAGAAAATGAGACGTGTAGATGTTAGATTATGTAAATAATCTTGTGTACATTAGTTTGTAAATTACTTATGTATTCTTAGTCATTAGCCCTAGAATACGCTTGTATATATATTGATGATTAAGTATGCGAAGGAAATCCTAGAGTCTGCAGGCATAGCTAACTGCAATTCTTCTCCCACTCCAGTTAATTCTAAAGGGGAAATGCGCACAGACTCTGGTGATCTATATGCGGATCCGACCATGTATCGTCGATTGTGTGGTGCTCTACAATACCTCACTTTCACTCGACCTGAGATTTCATATGCGGTTCAACAGGTGTGCTTATTTATGCATTCTCCCAGAGTTGCTCATATGGATGCTATGAAACACATTCTGCGTTATATTCAAGGTATGACCGATTTTGGATTACGCTTGTATAAATCATCTATCACCTCTATCTTGTCTTACACGGATGCCGACTAGGCCGGCTGCCCTGACACTCGTCGTTCCACATCCGGTTATCGTATTTTCTTGGTGATGATTTGATCTCTTGGTCCTCAAAATGACAACCTACTTTGTCGAAGTCTAGTGAAAAAGAAGAATACAAAGGGGTTGCTAATGTTGTCTCTGAGTCATGTTGGATTCGGAATTTATTACTAGAGCTACATTGTCCGGTCTCTAAAGCTACATTGGTATATTGTGACAACGTGAGTGTATCTATCTCTCAGGCAATCATGTTCAACATCAACGCACAAAACACATTGAATTGGATATTCACTTTGTTCGTGAGAAGGTACAGCGCGGTGAGGTCTGTGTACTACATGTTCCGTCCCGGTACCAGATTGCAAACATTTTCACTAAAGGTCTGCCGAAATTTTTATTTAATGATTTCAGGGACAGTCTTAGCGTTTGTAGTCCTCCTGTTTCGACTGCGGGGGTGTGTTAGATTATGTAAATAATCTTGTGTATGTTAGTTTGTAAATTACTTATGTATCCTTAGTCATTACCCTAGAATACGCTTGTATATATATTGATGATTAATCAATGAGAAAGGCACGACAAATATTCTCATATTATCTCAGTAGACAGCTAATCCTCATACTAAATAAATATTAGGGGAAAACCTCGTACTGAAAAATATTAGGGAGAATAAATAGAGATGATGAAGAACAAATAGGGACGATGAAATTAATTAACAATGGAGACTGGATCTCTTAAAAACAGGTCATGGCTAATTGGCTACTATTTGCAAGGAGAACTAAGGAAGTGATGAAAATAAACTTAATACTCATATATATATATATATATATATATATATATGTATGTATGTATATATATATATATGTATGTATGTATATATATGTATGTATATATATATATATGTATGTATGTATATATATGTATGTATGTATGTATATATATATGTATGTATATATATGTATGTATTACAACTTTTTATACCAAATATTGTTGCTAATTTACTATTATTGAGAACTGAGTGTGAGTTGGGATTGATTGTCTTACATTTAAAAAAATTATATTAAAATAAGGATGACTTACATATATATACAAGTATAAGTTTGATGGACTATTCTACTTATTACCACGAAATAAACAATGAGTTATAGGATAAAATTATAATGAGATTTTGTATTAGGGCAGACTCTCTTCTCCAACATAAGCTTAGTGATATATATGATGACGAAAACGTATCATCTGCTAGACTTTAACTAATTTAGATTCAAATCAAGTCAAGTCCCAATTAAAAAAACTCTCCTTACAAATGCTATACTACTAACTACTGTTACATTATCAAAATTTAAACTCAAAAGCTCTAACTTAAATTACAACTCTCTTACTAGTTGATTCAAACACTTTTAGTATTCTCCATTGAACCCGTACATTTATTCCCCACATGCATGATTAAAATAGTTATGAGTCTCTAAGACAATATGTTCCTAATAATAATTTGTCAAAGATTGAATTCTTACGAGAGTGGGCCTCAGAAATTAAGGGGGTTGTCGAGTATTGTTGTGTCCCAGGAAGCAAACCTTACAACCTCTATAATAACAGCAGGACAATAAGCTTAACATTACCACGAGATTAAGGCCTAAATCAGTCACAATTTGTGGACTCTTTTCAATTAATCTCCAATTTTAGGCAAACCTTCATGCAAAATATTAGACGTGGCATTGGATTATATTAAAATTCATGTTGATTTTTTTATCTTATATGATCCATAATTATAGCTAATTAAGTAGAACAACCGACATTAAAATATCACATCTAAGGTAAGGACCTTAAATTGTCTCTTCATAAATTCACATGGGTCGTTTGTGCACATTTCTTCAATCTTGCAAATTGCGATTTTGTTGGGTGATAGTTGAACACTTATACTGTGTTTCCTAATTGCATGGCTATGAGTCTATGATACAAGGATGATATTTGACATTGTCCTTTTCATGAAAATAATCATGTCGTTTTCAAAAAGATAATAAGGCATACGAAGTACTTGTTAAATTTGATCAATCGGTTGACACGATAAAATGTTTTATTGGGTTTGTTGTGACAAATTACGAGTATATTTAAATCGTTAATAGTAAATGATACATCATATATGAAGTTATTTAATGGCTGATTATTTGTGGTTATATTCACAGCTACGATACATTTCTTATATACATTATGAGTCACATCAAAGCCCTATCATGACGAGTTTGACAATGAAATGACCAATAAGGGACTAAGGGTATCTTCTCTTTAAATTGTCAAAATTACTACTCCTTGTAAATATGTTGCTCATATTTGTGTTTATAAATCACGACCCAATCTGTGCCATTTTCTATATCAAATTGAATTTTGGTTTGATTGATGTCAATTGAGGTTGGCTTGAACAATTATAGTCTATTTTACTTTCGGGTTGGGTAAAAGGTAAACTTTCTAATTTGTTGAGCTCGATTTTAGTCTCAATTACTCATGTTTAGGTCATTTGGAGTTTCATATTGATTTGGTTCATCATTTTTAGCTCAAAATAAGGTCTAAAGTCAGCTCATGGCATCTACAACAAGCCTTGTGGCCACCTATATTTTGGATTAGCATAGATTATATCCAATTAAGTTTGTGTTATGCGTGTTCAAAACTTGAAGTGCTCAGTTTTCAATTGATTAAACGAGTTTAGTGATGAGAACTTTACCTATCTATTTATTGTTTGTTTATTTGGGTCATATCCGTATATGAATATACGATAAAGTGCGAAAGATATACGTCGAAAATAATTAGTTTTAAATCGAAGAACATCAATTCACAACCAATTCATCCTTACTATATTACAAGCTCTCATTATTTCAAACGTTTTGGTTACTGTAAATGGCATAATTTTGAACTATTCATAAGTTTTATTACTCGGCTTTACCCTATATTATCCCAAAATATTACTTGCACAACTCTGTCACTTGATCAACGAAAGATGGTTTTTGAGTCAGTTTGGTAATCGGATTTATTAGTTTAGATACAAACGGGTTCGGGTCTGTTTCATATTGGGTTCCGTATCGGGTCGAATATTGACACCAATTCAGGGCCTTAACAATATTCGAGATTCAGAGGTTTAAATTATATGATTATATCAACTCAACTCACCACTCTATAGCAGGGTTTTCTTCTTCGTCGTCTTCTTTCTCAAATTCGCTAATTAGGGTTTTAGCAGCAAAATCAATTTTCGCAAATCTGCAGCAAATTTCAATTTCTAAGCAGCAACAATGGCGAGCACCAAAGTTCAGAGGATTATGACCCAGCCTATCGTAAGTTCACTTCCATTTTCATACATTTTCTTCTTACTCCGTATTTTTCTAGTCTAATAAATCATCTAATTGTTTCTCCTTTTTTTCCCCCATGATTCGCTATTTTTTTCGCCAACTTTCGAATCTTTCAGAACCTGATTTTCAGGTTTCTTCAAAGCGTAAGTCCCAATTTCATTGTTATATACCATTTTTTTTATATCATATTTTTATCTTTTGTTAATTGCTTTATACAAGTATTTGAGTTAATTGTTTGTTTTGGATGCAGAAAGCTCGTATCCAGATTTGGCTGTTTGAGCAGAAGGATGCTAGGATTGAAGGCCGTATCATTGTAAGCGTTTGTCCTGAGTAATTTAGTTACAAAACTTTAGGGTTTTTGTTGTTGATGGTCTTAGACTCTTAGGGCTCGTCGTCGCCTCTATTTCCTTATGCTTCGATATTCTTGTTGGTGTGCTGTTTTGTTTTGGTTTCACTTTTTTTCTATTAGTGTTGTGTCTTCACTGCCAATGCGCTATTTGTGGTTAAAACATAAGCAGGGTAGTTCAATGATCCAACCTCTGCTTATGGGCCTTTTGTGATGGCTATGGCGGCGAGCCAAAAAGGATGGTGATTAGTAGTTTCATAGACGGGTAAAGAATGGCTCAGTGGGGTTGTGGGAAAGTGTAAGGCTAAGGTGGGTGTGGAACAGGGTTGGGGAGATTGAGGAAGACATTTAACCCATGGTTTTGTAGATACATTAGAGTTTTGCAGCTAATGGAGGCAGGAGATTGATAAACAGGTAGTTCTGGGAATATATAGTCATGTGTAAAGTGGATGGAACAAAACCTCAACCTACTAATTTAGGTGACAAAGCAATTGGTTTCCTCTTCGATAGTTTCATCACTGTACATTTAGTGGCTCCCTAACAATATATGTAGTATAAGAGGGAAATTATAGTTATTCACAATGATAAACATTTGGTGTTTATCAAGGAGTATCTTTGTAAATTCTGGCATATAATGAAGGCTAGTTTTGTAATTCATAGAATCATAGGTAACACCGTTAACTTCTCATCCATTGTCATCATCTTCTTCCTCCTTCCTTCACCCATTGTACCTTCATCTTCTTCATCTACTTCCTCCGATCCTTCTATCATCTTCATCTCCTTCATCACTCACAGTCGGCAACCACCATTTTCGGCTGCTTTGCTGTCGAAATTAAACGAAAACCCTAAGATTAAAGGGAGAAATAAAGGGTATGGTTAACCCTTAAGGGTAGTTGAGGTTTCCCTTCTCCAATGAATATGTTCGTGAAGTCATGAGACGTGAAGTAGTGGCCACTGAAGTTATTTATGAGCTTTTGCTTAGCTCCATTAAAGCTCCTCTCACACCGTCAAATTCAAGAGTTAGTGGCTAGCTGTACAAAGTACAAAGAATAATTTTTAATTTTAAAAGCGTCAATATCTATGCATTTTATTTACAAAATTGCCCTAAACAATTCTTGTTTATCAACGTTAGAAACTTGTATTGTCTCGAAGTATAAGTCGTTATAGTGTATTAGTGTGTATAGTAGATGTGCTATCTATAACTTTAACTTTATTTTTTTATAAATATTATTTTGTTTATTATTAATTTTTTTTACTGTTTTACCTTCTTGTGAAATATAACATATGGATGCTTACCTAATATAGCTCTTTTTGGTTGCCTGATATAATATCAAAGGGCTTTTGACTAATGGATTGAAACTCATGCAGTGAAAATGAGGGACATACTTAGGTAGTACTAGGACCAATTTTGATGAAGTAACAGTAAGATTCATGTATTTGTTGCATGTCATGATCCGCTATTTTGTGAAGCCAAATAAATTTATGTTGGAAACTTTTGGGAGATATGGTTTAAGATAGGCCCGATAAAGATATCAATTTTCATTGTGTAGGCTTATATTTTGAGCTATCTTGGGTGTTTTCTCCAAGTAGGGAGCACTTTGGTTCATTGTTGAACTTTTGGTGAGCTTAAGGTATTGTCATCGTCAGAGATAAGTAGATAACAACAGTGGTTCGTTCATTTATAAAAGCAAAGAGGATTTAGGAGGTCTGGTATATTTATAGGAGGTCTGGTATATTTATGTTAAATCTTAAATTCCTTTGGTTGTGACTAGTATCAAATACACAGTATCATTATCATTAAAGAGAAGTTTCTAACCACAGCTCTCAGTTGGGAAATGAGGCAGTGTGTATATGTATAAATAATATTGGAAATATATGGAGGATGGTTAAATTATTGTGCTGTTTGAGGCTTCTTTCGGTTGGCAATCGATGGTGGTGCTTTTGGAAATGAAAGGGAGCACTGGAATATTGAGGATCCTCCCCCCCCCCCCCTCTCTCTCTGCTATTGTATATTAGGAATAAGGAGTAGAGTTTAGTTTTGCAGGATGCTTTTGGCCTTAGCCCTCTTTTTGTACTGGGGTGTCTATCTGTAATATATTTCATTATACTTGTTAAAACTCGCCTTGAAAATGATAGTGTGTTTCCCAATGATATACGCACTCAGGCATCTGTGGATTCTCGCCCTTTTCATCAATATTCCCCATGGGTTCGATTTAATATTCAGTGTACCTTTCTGCTATTTTAACATTCCCATGGATTCTTAAGGTAATTTGTCACATAATTAATTCTGTGTGCCCTTTAAAATGATTTTTCGTCTTTAAGACCTGTCAAGTTAATAGCTGAGCAACTTGTAAACTGTTGCTAATTTTTTGTAAAAACCACTGATATTTAGTCAGTATCCTTTCTATCAATTTAAACCTGCATCCCTAGTCAAGTTGCCTTTTTAAGAATTTGTTGGAATATGCCTAGTTGCCTACTATATCAGAAGGTTAAAGGTAAACCAACTCATTATGCTTCCCTTGGTTTATTTTGGAGGGGGTGAGAATGTGAGATCACTGAGATAGTTGCTGGCCTTGGTATTCAGTATATTTACTCTAAGCCTTTGGGTTGTGGTTTACTTGTGCTGATCCTCTTAACTACTCTGAGCAGAAATATTTTTTCACCTCAAAAGTTTTTGTATTGCACTTTTCAATATTTGCTGCTGATATCCATCTCTGATTCTTTGTCAGCTCTCTTGTGTACTGATATATACTGATCCATGATCTCTTCTTCAGGGATTTGATGAGTACATGAATTTGGTTTTTAGACGATGCAGAAGAGGTTAACGTCAAAAAGAAGACCAGAAAATCACTTGGTAAAATTTTCTGTGTATCCTATGATTTCTGTATCTGTCACTCCTTGATCTTGAGTCCAACAACTTACTTGTCATTGTTGCCTTTTTTTAGGGAGGATCCTTCTGAAAGGAGACAATATCACTCTGATGATGAATACGTAAGTTCAATATTTTTTTTTGACCATCTCCTTGTCATTTGTGCTTCTCTGAGTTTTCTGTTATACTTCATATCTTTTTATCGTCCCCTTTTTGTAATAATAGTGCTTTGTTTTGTTTATCTTTGCAGGGGAAAGTGAGGACCAGCTGATATGCATTTGGTCAAAAATATTAAATTTGCAAACTGCTCACCTGCCTTGGAAGTTTTGTGTATTAATGTAGGATGCCCTTCTAGCATTCCCTTGTATAGTTGAATACTTCGTATGAAGTGGATTTGACGGATGTCTTTGTTCGTGTTTAATAGAATTTCATATGGTTGAGTTTCTAGTGGTAGAATCCAATTTGGGGCAATTTTCTCTGCTTTACCAGTTTATGTATGTCTATGATTTATTGGAGATGTCTCGAGTCATAAGCTCATAGCATGCTCAAAGTAATCTGACACTAGGATTTGATAATTTGAATCTCTTGAATTCTGTATACTCCCCCGTTTCTTAATACTGTATGAGCCTTGTTTTCTCCAAAGCCCCATTCCATGTGGGTAAGGTCAATCATCCATGATCCATCATCTCTGATATTATTAGTTACGGTTCAGTTGGTGTGTGATCATGTATGTAGTAATATATTATGCTTTTTACTCGATGTGATTATCGTGTAAGCATCTTTGGTTCCTCACTCGTCAAAGTAATCAATTAAAAAAACGATAATGAAAAAACTAACTTCATATAAAACATTGCATTTATGATTTTTTTGTTGCAGCATGTTTATTTTCTTATTTTTCATTTGCAAAGCAAACCGAAATGAAAGTTGCAAATATTGATAGAGTACATATATCACAATTGATTATGCTCCTTTGCACTAAGCAAATAACGTGGACATTATTTGTCAAATTCAAAATTCAAAATTCAAAATAACAAATACGGAGGAGTACCTTTATTTTTGTCAATGTTTTTTTTAAAGGATGCAATAAAGAATAAAATAAATAAATTGAAAGTGTATATGTTTCAGTTTGCCCTTAATTGAGAAGGGTTATTGAATTTTGCTGTTATTCGTAAATTTTGGTAATGCATACCCCCTCGAATCAATGAACGTTTTAACACTTGTATAGTTGTATTTTATCATTTCATGGGCATAGCAGGTGGGAGTAACAGTGAAAGATTCAAGTCTTAGACTTTTGAGGTACTCCTTAAGAAGTAAGAAATTCAACAAATGAATAAAACATTGTAAATTTTCAGAGCTAAATGTACCGTGTATTACGGAGTATGATCAAAGATCAAAGATGGCACCTGCACCAGTAATCGAACTCATTGACTCCGACGATGACGACGATGGCAACGCCAAAACTCCAGTTTCCAAACCACTCAACACAACCACTAACCCCCCTAATTTCGTCGATCTTGTCGAAGACAGCCCAACTCCGACGACGACCAAATTCCAGAAATCATCATCTCCGTTTGTTCCCGTAACCCCACTTTCCAAACTCGCTCATCCTCCTCTTCTCGCTAATTCTTCATCAGGTCACAATTTTGTTTAATTTTATTGTTTTCCTTTAATTTAGGGGTTTTGTTTTTTTTGTGTCTTTGAATTTTACTTTTGTTTTGTTATTTTGCTTCTCGACTATAATGGGTTTAGTGGATTAATGCTTAATTGATTGCCCTTTTCCATTTTTAGGGATGCCCTTTTGCAATTTATGCGATTATACTATAATTGGTTGTCATTAAAAATGATTTTGAGACATTCTGCTTGATTATTTTTTTTTTGTTGATTAGTTTTTAAAACCAAAATTGTGCTTAAAATGAGGCTAGGTTTTTTTTTATTAGTTTGCATTCTTCTGTAGTGGGGTTGTTTGAATCAAAGCTAGTTTAATGTTCCTAATTATAGATTATGTTAAGAAATGAAGAACATTGTTTTGTAAGTGCTGATAAAGTTACCTTGGATTTAATAGTTTTGTTCTGTTCTGTTTAGGGCTTAGGGTTTGGTTCATGTTGCAATTGTGGGTTGCAGTGACTTAAGTTTTGGTCTCTTGATCGTTATCGATTATCCCTTATGTTTTCACCCTTAGTATTTTCTTGATCTTTGTCCAATTTAGCTACTTTAAACTGTGATTTAGGAGTAGTTGAATACTATTGCTACTTGGCCGTTTCCCTCAAAACACAGGTCTGTACTTGAAGCTCCCACATGGTATTTTTGTGGTAAAAGCCTTTGTGCATCCTTGTTGCTCATTTAAGGTTATGAATAGCTCAATATTCTTCATTTACATGATAGATTAGGAATGGGTGTGCTTTCAGTTGAACCTTTCTATAGACAACAGTCCTGCCGAGAAATATCTCACCCCAGTCAAAACTTGTAGTGCAGTCCAAGAAGGTGCATCACTTCGGCCACCTTGCGCCTTGTAAACCTGAATACCTGAGTTCCTTACCCTTTCGTTACTCGTTCTTTTGTGTTATCGTGTGAAAAATTTGTTTTTCTAAGACCATATTTTGATGCCCATTCTTTTGTGTTATCATGTCAAAATTTGTGATGATCATTTGTATGATAAATTAATAATCATTGATTTTAACTTACTCATAAGAGTTCTCTCTTAGACTTTAATAGTTCGACCCGAGGACCGAGAATATGTTGAATAAATACACAAGGTACAACCAAAGATCGCTGCCACCTGATTTCTTAAAAATTTTAGTTTAATAATTAAGTGTACTTGATTATTAGTAAGTGTCACAAAGCCATATTGTTTTTATACTAATACTATTATGGCCACCGGATATGTTTTGCATCTGTGCTTTTTTTGTGGTATTCATATGTTTACTTGTTTTCCATGTGACTGCGATTTCTTGTATTGATCTTGCAAATTTCAGGTGATGAGTCGATACCTGATGATGATGGAGGCCTGGAAAAGGGGACTTGTGTGAAGAACATAGGAGCATGTGCAGGTTCTGATTCAGGAAAGGACCTGGTAAGAAGCCCTAAATACGCTGTGTTGGAGCGTGAGATTGATTTTGATAGTTGGTTAGACATGGATTCAAACGTTTGTCTTCACAAGGGAGGGGAACCCAATGTTCATGTGGAGGGGAAAGGCCTAGGAAAAAGAAGTTCAATGGAAAATGGAAGAGCAGCTACAGATGTGGAACAGAACTTGAAAAAGAGACCTAAAGTTGTAGCAAAGGAGAACTGTCAGGAGAAGGAAAGGAATTACTGCTACTTTCAATGTGGAGCCCTTGGATAGTTGTTCAAATTTTCAATCCACATGCCATCTTGGTAAGTTGGTGAATTATCTTAAGATATTTTCGCAAGGTAAGGGTATATATGTTGCATAACGTTGACAATCTCTTTTCTCAGGGAACTTGAAGTCCACGAAGACATATGACCATAGAAATCATATACAACCTAGTGAAGTAAGATTAATATGACTTTCTTGTTGCCTTTTGATCTCTCTACAGCCCTCTTGGTTTTTCTATTAATATGTTCTCTGCTCCTCCTAATCAATATCAAGATGTTACTGTTACAATGTGATATAGCTTGCAGCCTTGCACACTCCATGCGGTCTGTGTCTTTTTGCCTTCTACACTCTCATTATTTATTTGAAGGGGGAGGTTGGCTTTTTTGAAGAACACTTTGCCAAGTTCTTCCTTCATATCTATGCCTTTGCTTACCATTTCAACTAAAGTTGCTTGCTACTTGGAACAAATTTGGAATTGACCTTTCATGCTATCAATGATAGTGAGAAGGGATCTGGTTGTGTGGACGTCATAAGTTGACTATGGATTAGGAGGCTTTATGTGTTAGTAATGTCATCCTAGGTTGAGTTGGTAGGCAGTTGGAATTCTGAATTTGTGGGATTGCATGACCTCAAGTCTTCAGTTAGTTTCAGGGTTAAGTGAAGTCATGCTTATGATTTGATTCTTTTTAACATGTTTAGTTTGTCAATATCAATTGCAATGGATGTATAGGTTGTTGATAGGATCCTTTCGTATTTTTGAAGTAATGAAGGTCCAAAAGCTGTTTGGTGTTATGTTCTACTGTTGTCTAGAGTCTAGTGTTAGTCTTTAAACATAAGGCACTAAGTTCATTTACACTCATTTTTTATGCTTTATAATGGCAATATAATGTATAAATAAGCTCAAGGCGCACTAAAGTGATAAAACTATTGGAGAGCACATTAGGTAATTTTTAGCTCAGATTTGAGTTGTACATTTAAAACTTTTGGAAGTTGGATGCATATCTCTAGCTTTAGGTGACTGATGAATTGTGACTTAATAATATTTTTTATATCCGCATTTTGATGCTCTACCGAATACTAAATGTTTACGTGTATCATGTGCTAATGCAAGTCTGGTGTATTCTCAGAATCATGATTGTGAAAAAAAAATTGTCAGACTGGAAAAAAGGAGGTGCAATTCATAAGCCGGAAAGTGGAGGTGATGCTAATACAGAGAAGAAACAGAACAAAGTTAATCAGGCTGAAAATAGAAAGAAATTATCTGAGGAAAAAAGGCTCATGAAGGAGGTCAGTCTTATGTTTTATTGATTTCATGTAACAGATCATGTTAAGACTAGAGCTTACTGAGTTTTTTCATAACGCAGCAAGAGAGGTCGCGTAAAGCGGAATTGAAGGATGAAACTGCAAAACAGAAACAGTTGGCAAAAGAGAGGAAGAAGTTAGAGAGAACATAAGTTCAGTGAGAAAGACATTGTGGCTGTGATTGATCCAAAGGTTCTGTCAGGTTCAGTTGGAGGTAGGCTCGGTAAGGGTATACTCGTATATACCTGCTAAACTTCATCATTGAATTATGTAAAAAAATTTAACTTCTTAACTAGTCTTACTGATACTTTTCTTGAATACAGGACCACTGCTAACCATGTTTAGCCAGAAAGATCTCAGGTCTGAAATTTTTGCAAATCCTTTGAAAAATCAATTGTTTTGAGAATAGAGACTCCCAAAGACATTTCTCAGGTAAATGGAACTATAACTTGTTGATAGTTTATGTTGATGAAAGTTAATTTGAAGATGCAAGTTGACTGACTCTTTTCCCTTATGAACCTGTTCCTTATACTTCTTATGTTTTAAGGTCCTTTCTTTTCATTTTTTTGATTGAGTAAATCTGGTTTATCTTTGATGCACTATCCCACTAGTCTTCTTTAATTTTTTGCGTTATTGTTTTTGTAGAATGATTTAGGGCTCTGAATATGAGTAATGTTAAGAACCGTCTTTGGGAGATTCTTATTTCTGCTGTTTTCTGGATAATTTACTTGAAAAGGGATGATGGGTACTTCTTAGATGTTATGAATATGTAATAGACTAGGATTTTCAGATTATAAGTTCTATTGAACCAGAAATTTAAAGATTAAAGTTTGAGTCTTTGATTGATAATGGCAGAATTTTTGGATACAAAAGTGATAGGTTGCTTTAGGCTATTATTCTCTTGATAACTTTAGGTTATCACTCTCCTAGTAAGAGTAGTAACTTGAGGTTACCATTCTCTTAACATATTTCCTCACAATTCACATAATGTCCTACTGCCTTCACTACTACACTTTATATACTAAAGCCACATTACAAAACATTAACCTAATATTAATTGTTCCTGTCCTCTACTGCTGCCATACAGAATCAGGAATCAGTCCCATGCTCCCCCTCTCCTTAGTGCTTTCTTAATTGCTTTTGTCCTCTAGTGCTAGTGTGCTACTGTGTTCCTTGTTGGCTCAGTGGTGGTAGACACCAGGTCTATAACAGTATACTGGTGACTTTAAAGACCTTTATTTACTTAAAGGGGTCACAATTTCTAACTGTTCTTCCAATCTTTGTGTTCTCAGCTGTTGTCTCATCCTTAATGGTCTATTGTTCTTACAGATTATTTGTCAAGGAGGTTTCTGTGGTGAAATGGCCTTAAGGTGGCAATATGGGGACTGTTCTAAATCGATTAGGGGTATCATGGGGAAGAATTAGAGAGTTAGTTAGATGAGAGAAAATCTGAGTTGTCTATCTATAGATCAAGGTTGAAAATCATCAGTAAACTATAGAGACTTTACTTTGCTTTAGTTTATTATTTTTTGGGAATGTATCAAGCCACTCAAATGTTTTGACAATCTGATGGCAATATCATCCTCTTCTCTTAGTTTTTATCTTCAAATAGTTGGTCTATAGCAGATTTAAAAGTTATTCAGAGATTAATGGAGAGAGATGCTTGATGATATTTGTTGATTTCATTATCTTCCAATCTCTTGTTCAAGATTGTAATTTGTAAAGCATGAACCTTTGATCTTGATATAGTTTCTTGGATGTCTTTCCTGTTCAAAGCTTCTTCAAGTCTTGTTACTAAACTTATAGTCCCTCTTGTTATCTTTTATTGCTTAAGCAGTTAAGCTGTTTAAAGGAATACTTGACATTTGCTTGTCTTCTGGTACATGTTTCATTACTGTAGTATTTCAATCACTGGATTTTGATCCATTGTTTGTACAGACAGTACAGCTGGAACCTATTGTATGTTTTTCTGCAGTGGATGACTAAGTATTCAAAATTTTCGTTTTGGATAAGGCATGGAGGACATCCTCTTTATTACAATGACAGAAGTCTCATTGAGGCACTGTTGTATTATTTAGAGTCTGTGGTGACTTGTATATTTGGCTACCTTACGTTACATGGATGCTTTGTCCTCTTCAGGTTTTTGGCACAGGAATATTATTAACGAAAACTCTACTATCAATCATTATGTTTAAATTTTTCTGAGTAGTTCATTTGATGTTCAGCTGAAGATTTTTTTGTCCTTGTCCAACGGTTCCTTATGTTTGAATGAGAAATCTGTAGCTTTTTCTTCCAATTCTATCTAACTCTCTTTTGTTCTTGAATGAACAAATGTGAGCTGATTTGTATAGCAATAAGAGAAGGTTATCATGTCCTTTACTTGTATATCAGTTCTGATGACAGATTATATATCCAATTCCTGGGGAATAGCTTGAAACTGATTGAATGTTGGTAACTGTTTGTCTGCAGCATGCTACGGTAAAAATTGATGTTCAATATATATTGCTCATATATGGTGATGCTGAGGAATTTTGTAAATGTGCTAATGATGGATCTCTTATGGATCATATTGCTTCTGTGCGAAAGCATTATCCATCTTACACAATCTGCTGCCTTACAAATAGGTTGATGTCTTTTATCAATAAAAGGTGAGACAATTGCAAGTATTTCCCTCATCTTATTTGATGGATCTTGTGCCTCCTTGATTTTATGCATGAAATTCCGTTAGTTTTATTTTTGTTAGTGTAGTGGCACATGAGAAGATTTTTTTTTTTTTCTTTTTTTAAGGCTTCAGTAAATATGCAAAAATATATTAATCACAGGCCTTAGGTAATCCAGGATTCTCTATGGTAGAGTCTTGTAAGTTGTGACCCCCCTCTCCAATCTTAATGTCTGTCTTCCTTTGATGCTGTTCAGATGTGATTTGCTGGCCTCCAGAGTGAGGCTGAATGCCCACGCTTGTTTTCTTTTACCTAGACCTGGTTATGGGGTAGGGTTGCCCAATGATAATAGGGTCAAGGCCAAGGTTAGAGGGCCCTTAATGGACAGTCCTTTTATTGGGTAAGGTCAATACAGGGTCAAAATATTTGCCCAATTTTATAAGATAAAGAAAGATAATGTAAGAAAAAATTACATGGGTATTTTCGTATTCATATATACATGATTTTGGCTTTGGTTTATATTCTCTTTAATTCATAGTTTACTGGCCCCCCCATTATTGACCCGCTATTGACCCACAACCCGCATTGCCCTATAAAATGTGATCTTTGACCAGATCACTACCAACCCTGACCTGACCGCCCAATAACCAGGTCTACTTTTACCTGTCCTCATATTCCCTTCTCCCTTGTCAAATTCAAATACCTTTATACTTTATACAACATTTGGAACCATGATGGTTGAATAAGACAGGGAAGATGTTGTTAGAAGAATTAAGTCGAGGTTGAATGCTGAGCATATTAAGCAAGGCGAAGTGTAAATTGTTATCTAAAAGTCTGCTCCACTGTGATGATATACAAATTTCACGTGCTGGAAAACAAACAAAAAGGAAAGTGTGATTAAGGTAAAGTCTAGGAGAATAGGAGATAATCTTGTATTCATTAAAGTTGTCCACTTATTTATTTGAGCCTACAAGCATACACCCTAGAGAACCTTGTAATGCTTTGCACATACTCGTAGTCTCGTATTCTCACTCTTTCTTTATTTTGCATTTCGGGGAAGATGTTTGGGTAAATGTTGTCGTGTTACTTGATTAGTTTCTCTTATTCAAGTATATTCCGCATCTTCTTCCTGCTATGTATTCATTTTTCAAGTTTTCTCAACTGTCCTGGCTTTATTGAGAAATAAAATCCATAACTTGCTGGGGGTTTGTTATCTTTGCAGGGAGCAACAGAAGTATAAACAACAAAAGGTTGCTAGTGACTGGATACGTCCACCTGTGGAAAAGGCAAGACATATTGGCAAATTCTAATCTCTAAATAATTTCAGTTTGGCTCATCCAATACTTCAAATTTTGCTTATTATTGCTTGTTAAAATTGCTGAATTGACTGAATGCTTTCTGCACAGCTGTTTGCCAAGTTGACTACTCAGTTCTCCAATGTTCATATAAGACAATGTGTTGATGAGGCTGAAGTAGCTGAACATGTTGTTGGGTTGACAATCAACCTTGCCAAGTGCCATTCTCGGTAACTCTTTATATTTATTTTTCAAAACGTATCATACATGCAATGCAATCCACATGAGAATCATGCTTAGGTATACTGTTCTGCTTTCATTCTTTTTAAAAAAAAAATTATCACCAGTTTTTAACGGCTAAGGGAATCAAATTTTCGGAAATAGGAGTATGTAAAATAAGAGAGAAATAAATTGAAGCGCTTCATGATTTTAATGATTTGACCAGGAAAAAGGAAGCTTATGCATTCGTAATTGTTAAACCCTAATGTGTATGACTGAATGTGAGTAAAGTGAAGTTGTTGGACCCATCACATGCTTTGTTATCTGAAACGACAGAAAGGGTAGTTTGCAACTAAATATTACAAAAATTGTTGTAGTAATCTGATTTCACTTCAAAATGAATTTCACCATTTATTTGTTGAATAAGAATTATAAAAGTACTTTAAAAAGTGGAATTGTTCTTCAATCATGAGCTTTTCTGTTGTTTGAAATGTGTAATCTCTTTTTATTGATATTGGTTATTGATCTAGGGGAATTATTTCGTGATAATTATAAGTAGAAATTTTATCTTCTTTAGTCATTGATAAAAAAAAATTGTTGGACAATAATCAACACAACTATCAAACATATACAAGTTCCAAAAGTAATGCTGTAATTAACTGTTTCTTTTTAAAATTCATTTCCAATCAACAATGGTCAAATCTCCAGGACAGGCACGAACATATACTTCACCATCCATGCATTAATCAAATTTAAAGTGAATTTGACCTTGAAATTGCACCGATGTAATCAATGTTTCAGATCTGTAGATACTCTAATGCTCCAATGTATGGTGTAGCTAAAAACTTGAGCGCCTTTTGCTAAATGAATATGAAGAATTTAGTGGTCCTAGCATCAACTGGCACGTGCCCTACAATCCACTAAACTACAACTTCTAAGCTGTAACCCTAAAAAAAACATTTCTAGTGAACTGGCATTAAGCAGTTACTATCTAAGCATTTTTTTTATCACTGCGTTTTACATATTTACCCTTTCTGCTTTACATGCTCTTTTTACTGCATATGTTACTGCTAGAATATAAATTTTAGACATCATTTTATCTTTAGTTAACATTTAGGTGAGGTGCCTAAAGTATTTTGCTTTTTCCGGCAGCAAGAAGCTGACACACTTGTCTGTGAATGCCAATGGATGTAATGTGACCAAGGATTGTCTGTACAGAAGCGCTATAAAGAAGGATTCGTGGTTAGTATTTCTGGTACACACATGTTTATGTAGCCTGCATTGTGGCTCATTACACAAATATCTATCATTGTTTTCTGTTCAGCTGCTGATGGCCTACCTCCAGTCAGTAAGTTTTAATGAACCAACCTAAGAGAAGGAGCATTTAGGTAATCCAATGTTATTCTGTTAGTAGTATCTTGAGCAGGACGGTTGGTTATATGGTAAGGAGAATCAGAGATACAATGTATGAGGAAGAGTAGAGAGTACAGAGGGTATTCTGAAGATAAAATTGATATTTTAGTTTAACTAGTTGGGAGATAATCAGGCCACTTGAAATTTGATATTCTATCCTTTATTTTTCTGTGATTCTAGTATTATCAATTTAAATCTCTTTCTTCAACCTTTATATCTGCTCTAGAAACATGATGCAAGTGCAAATGTTCTACAGTTCCACCTGTAAATAGGTATATTGCTTTGCTGGGTTTGATTTTATGAGAAATAAGTAATTTGGCTGAGTGGTATTAGTGATAAGTAATGTTACCACATGACCACCAATCTGCTATGAATCGGGTCGAACCACACCAACAACCAATTCGGGTTTATGAATGAAGGCACAAACACAAGGCCAAAGGATTTGATCAGTAGCAGCAGCAGCTTGTAGCAGGAAGATGCCAAAAAGTTTTAATGATCCACTATGTATTGTGGCAATAGGTTTCTCTATGGTGAAAGCCACTTTTGCATTACATGACAAAAATCTTAATGACTAGAGTACCTTATATGGGTAAGGGGCTTGGTATATAAGGGATAGCAATGTAACAGTGAAGGGTATATTTTTGGAGAAATTAGTAAGTAGTGTAGCTGTAGCATTCCTCAAGAAATCAGCTTTAGCTTATTTTCCCTTGTAGCCGTAATCTTCAAATATTAATCAAAATATCCAAGCTTTCCCCTGTTTTTGGGTTTTCTATTGCAATCATTGAATCTGATTTTCCAGTCTATAGCAACTTGGTATCAGAGCAGTCACGGTGGAGGAAAAGCTCACAGGTCTAGTAACACAAATAGCTGACATAAATGGGAAGTTCGACTCACAAGAAGCAACCATCGGAAGGGTGGTTCAGGCTGTTGTGGCTCAAGCCTTGGAAACGGAGAGGAAGCAGTCGGAGGAGGCTATGGCCAACACCACCACCAGTTGGAGGCCCGAATCAACCGATTTTGGGAAACCCATGAGAAGCAAGCCGCAATTGGAGAGAGAACAAAACAAGTTCATGGAGGAGATGAAGAATGCGGCGACCGGTACGTAAGGAAAGGCTACCGTATGAATTTCGAACTTCTTACGAGGGGTCATTATATGAGTAATGGCTCGCAGTGGTGCAAGACGGAACGGTGAGGAGTATAGGAGGAGGTAAATAGAGCTGGCAGCTCGTTGGAAGGCATACTCGAAACCCTTATGTTGGCCAGTTCATTAATGGGCTAAGGGGGAAATTAAAACCGAGTTGAGGATGTTGAATTCGTTTAATCTGGAAGGTGCAATGGAGTTGGCGGGTCAGATTGAAGAAAAAAATCGGGTTTGTGAATTCAAGAAGATGGGTCAAGGGGTGTCGAAGTTTGGGCTGGCCCAAAACTCATACCTCACTTCTGGTGGACCTGGGTTAGTGCAAACATATGGGGTACCTCATCATATTGGGCAAGTAAATCTTGGACCAAACTACCAGAGTCTCAGTGAACATGGCAAACCCATCTGGTAATTCGCAAAGTAAGAGCACCACCTATACCCGACGGCTCACACAGGCTGAATTGCAGGAGAGGAGTGCGAAAAATCTTTGTTTTAGGTGTGATGAAAAGTGGAGTGTAGGTCACCGATGTAAAAGGAAAGAAATGAGCGTCCTTATGGTTACGGAAGAGGAAGAAACGCTAAAAGTGGAGGAGGATACGGTGGATGATGCGGAAGTCAAGGTGTCCTTGTGCTCAGTCATCGGAATTTCTAATTCAAAGACTATGAAATTGAAGGAAGAGCTAGGGGTTAGAACGGCGGTGGTGATGATTGACCCCGAAGCTACTCACAACTTCTTCGCGTTGCAATTAGTGGCGGAAGCGGCGATTTCGGTGTCAAAAAAGAGGGAAATTTCGGTGGCCCTAGGAATTTGAGAAACAATGAAAGGAAGTATAGTTTGCAAGAAGGTATAGGTGCAATTAAATGGTGGAGTCTCGATCATTGAGGATTTTCTACCTCTTAAGTTGGGAAACGGCGATTTAATACTCGGTGTGCAGTGGTTGGAGAAGTTGGGGGCTGTGACAAGGAATTGGAAGACACATAATGAAGTTTCGAGTTGATGGCATTCGGTGACACTCATTGGCGACCCGTCACTACAGAAGACCCAAATCTCGCAAAAAAAGCCATGGTCAGGAATTTATGTAGGAGAAGCAGGGGAATTCTGGTGGAATTGAGCAATATGGAGGATGATAAAACAGAGGTAGCAAGGGAACAACAACCACCATCGTTCCTGGCAAAGGTAAGGTGTTTGAGATCCTGGTGGGTTTGCCTCCCCAACGCTATCATGAGCATTCGATTATTTTGAAAGGGGGAAGTGACTCAGTTAGTGTGAGACCGTATCGCTACCCTTAAATTCAAAAGGATGAGATAGAGAAGTTATTTCAAGAGATGCTTCAAGCCGGAATAATTCGGCTCTCTACGAGTCCCTTCTCTAGCCCGGTGATTCTTGTGAAGAAGAAGGATGGAAGTCGGAGGTTTTGTGTTGATTATAGGGCATTGAACAAAGAAACCATGTCGGATAAATTCCCAATTCCGGTCATAGATGAATTTTACTTGATGAGTTGCACTGGGCTAAATGGTTCTCAAAATTGGACTTGAAGTCCGGTTACCATCAAATAAGGGTGAAATCGAAAATGTCCACAAGACGACATTTCACACTCACGAGTAACATTACGAATTTCTTGTAATGCCCTTCTTATTGACAAATGCACCAGCAACCTTCCAATCGCTTATGAACGAGATTTTTAAACCTTGTTTGAGGAAGTTTGTTTTGGTGTTTTTTGAGGACATACTTGTGTATAGTAAGGACGTGGAAGAACACAAGGAGCATGTGAGATTGGTGCTAGAAAAATTAGCTACGAATAGTTTGTATGCTAATTGGAAGATGTGTGAGTTTGGGAGGAAGGAAGTAGCGTATTTGGGGCACATAATTTCGGAGAAGGGGGTAGCCATGGATATGGAGAAGGTGAAAGCCATTGTAGAGTGGGAGGAACCCCAAAATTTGAGGGAGCTGCGAGTTTTCTTGGGCCTCACTGGTTACTATCGGAAATTTGCGGCTCATTATGCCTAATTTGCTGGACCTTTTACAACTCAATTGAAGAAAGGCAATTTCAGGTGGGGCTTAGAGGCAGCCTAAGCCTTCAAAGCCCTCAAGGCTGCCATGACTTCCGCTCCCGTATTGGCCATGCCGAATTTTAATTAGAATTTGTGATCGAAACCGATGCATCCGGGTATGGGCTAGGGGCGGGAATGATGCAACAAGGCAAACCAATGGCTTATTTAGCATGGGGTTAGAAATCAAGTAAAATCCATTTATGAGAAGGAGTTGATGACTATTAGTTTAGCGGTGATGGAAATGGAGACACTACCTTCTTGGAAGGCATTTTGTAATTCATACCGATGAACAAAGCTTGAGATTTTTGACACAACTAAAAGAGGTAGGGAGTGAGTATCAAAAATGGATGAGAAAGTTGATGGTCTTGGACTTTGAGATCTAATATAAGCCCGGGCCTTTCAATAAAGTGGCGGACGCCCTTTCAAGGAAAGAAGGGAGTGCAGTCCAAATAGTGGACCAGGCGAGTTTGAAGAGGAGATAGCCTAGGATTGTGGCTGGAAGAACTTAAGCAGAAGTTAAATGGTCCGAGTAATTGCAAAGGATTCTCCCGGCTGAAGGCTGAGTAGTTTATAAGGGTCAAATGGTCGTGCCAAAGAATTCAAGATTCATTTCAATACTACTCACGGAGTACCATGATACCCCTATGGTTGGTCACGATGGTGAAGTTAAAACTTACCACGGCTGGCAGCAGATTGGTTTTGGTCGGGTATGCTAAAGATGGTGGGGGAATATGTTTGACTTTGTGAAGTGTGGCAACGAAGCAAGGCATCACAACGGGTTCCGTTGCAGCCACTATCAGTGCTGGAAGTGGTTTGGGACTACGTCTCTATGGGGGTGAATATAATCTTGGTATTAGTGGACCGGCTATCGAAATACAGCCACTTCTTGGGGTTAAAGCATACCCTTAATGCATTGAAAGTTTCAGATGTTTTTGTAAGGGAGATTGTCCGATTGCGCGGGTTTCCATCGTCGATAGTCTCCGATCAAGATAAGGTGTTCATGAGTCACTTTTGGAGAGAGTTGTTCCGATTACAAGGCACACATCTCAAGCGTAGCATCGCTTACCATCCTCAAACGGATGGCCAAACGGAGGTGGTTAATAAGTGTGTAAAAACCTATCTCCGGTGCTTCGTTGCTAGCCAACCCAAATCTTGGGCACATTGGCTTCCATGGGCCGAATACTCCTACAACACTTCACCCCACACCACAACTAAGATGGCCCTTTTAAAGTTGTGTATGGGAGAGATCTACCCAAAAATTGGAAGATGAAGGAAGGTTTGACAGTGGTGAAGAGTTTGGAGGAGGGATTGATGGAGAGAGACTTGATCTTGGATGAATTGAAAATGCACATCAACCTAGCGCAACTATTGATGAAGGAGAATGCAGATGGTAGGAGAAGAGAGGTGGAATTTGAGATAGGGGACTGGTGTTTCTTAAACTGTAGCCTTATAGGCAGCAATCCATTGCCAAACGTATATGAGAAGTTGGCAACGCGCTTCTACAGGCCCTTTGAAGTTCTTCAACAAAGTCCATATGAGAAGTTGGCAACGCGCTTCTACTGGCCTTTGAAGTCCTACAACGAATTGGGAAGGTGGCTTACCGCCTAAAACTGCCGGATGATAGCAAGGTACACCCGGTATTTCATGTGTCGCAACTGAAGAAGGCAGCAGAGGATGCACCAGTAAATCCCACCATTCCAATTCAGCTCACTGTTGACTTGGAGCTCATAGTGGAGACAGAGGAAGTTCTGGGGGTGCGATAGAAGGAAGAAAGGGGCAAGTCGTGCACTGAGGTTGCTTAAATGACGCGAGCTACCTGATTTTGAGGCAACATGGGAGGACTATGATATGATCAACCTCAGGTTTCCATCTTTCCACCTTGAGGACAAGGTGAATGTCCGGTAGGGGAGTAATGCTATGAATCGGGTCAAACCATACCAACAGCCAATTCGGGTTTATGAACGAAGGCACAAACACAAGGCCAAGGACAAGAGTCACAAGATCAATAGCAGCAGCAGCATGTAGCAGGAAGATGCCAAGAAGGTTCTATGAAACACTATGTAGTGTGGCAATTGGTTTCTCTGTGGTGAAAGCCACTTTTGTATTACATGACAAAAATCTTAATGACTAGAGTACCTTGTATGGGTAAGGGGCTTGGTATATAAGGGATAACAATGTAACGGTGAAGGGTATATTTTTGGAGAAATTAGTAAGTAGTGTAGCAGTAGTGTAGCAGTAGTGTAGCTGTAGTATTCCTCAAGAAATCAGTTTTAGCTTATTTTCCCTTGTAGCCGTTATCTTCAAATATTAATCAAAATATCCAAGCTTTCCCCTGTTTCTGGGTTTTCTATTGCAATCATTTCCAGTCTATAGCACAATCGAATGGAGCATTCTCTTGGAGAAATCCCAAAAAAGAATATGGTGCATACTACAAGAGACGAGAGGAGTAGCTCTCAACTCCCTAGATTGTGTTACTGTAAATAGTGCAAGACCTCTCAAAAGGCAATTTCCATATGTTATCTCTGCAAGACTATTTTCACCCTTGTAACAAAATTTCATGCCTAGTCTCCATTTCCTCACCATCTGTCAACCCCTTTATCAATCTAATAGGTGATGCCTTGGCACTTAAACAGAATAGTAGAGGAGTCAGGTACTCGGGTTTATTGGCATTTCCTATAACGGACAATTAGACACTTGGATGAATTTTATCAAAAGAAGATCCCTTCAAATT